ACCACCCCACACTTTCACAAAACCCCTACCCCCCCCCCAAACGCGCGGAAACGCGGTTCGCAGACCCCGTTCATCTGCGTCCAACGCGCGTTTGAAGAGGGATTGAACGTGAATTCAACACGCGCTCAATTTTTCAATGCGAAACCCACGTTGAATCGATTTTCGGGCACACAACTTCACTCCCTTCACTCATTTTCTTCCCTCTCTTTATAATCCCAAACACCACCTCCCCTAGTACATTCTTGCACCTAATGATTTAAAAAAAAAAAAAAAAAAAAAAAAAAACTACATTGTATAAAAAAAATCATATAACTTCTTTTTAGAAATTAAAAAAGTAGGAGGATTACCTCAGAAGAAATAAGGAAAAAAAAAAAAAAAAAAAAAAAAAACATTGAAGAAATAAGAACATATTGCTTCTTCGCGAGGACGAATCTGAAAGAGGATTACCTTGTAGTAAGCATGACATAAAAAAAAAACAAAAGAAAAGGGGAATTTTTTCACTCTCCTATCGCAAACACCTACACGCTAGCACGACAAGTCCTTACAACCTATCATGTTAGACCTTCCATGACTACGCTGTCGGACCAAATACCCTTACAAGGGTATTTGGCCATGCTTTTGCATTTGACACAGTGACAGCGTCGGCTACCATGATGGAGTCAGTCTGGAATAGAAAGGGTGTGCACGTTTGAGCGTGACACTTGAAACAGTTTCCTCGACTATTGAAGCCGGGGACAAAAATCGGTGAGAAAATTTCGAAAAGTATACGCGCGCATTGTTATGACGCGCACTTTGATGGTTAGTATCAGCAGTAATACCCTCCGACCAGAAAGGTCGAGGGTTGATTGAGTTAATGGTGCGTCGGGTAGATTTACAACACACGCTGAGGCATGGACGGGTACCGGTCTACGTACCGGTACTCGGCCTCTGAAAATGTCAACTTTGCCTTCTTCTACTCGGCCACGGCTACCCGGCAGGCAGGTTTTCCTTCTAAAAATGTCAACTGGGCCTCTATTATTTCATTATTATTATTATTATCATTATTATTATTATTCTTTTAGTTTTCGGATTCCGTAGCAAACCTCCGCCTACTCACCTTTGTGAATCTGCACTGGAAAGGCGGGCAGGTTTGTTTTCACGAAAAATTTGGCTCTACTTCGAGCACAGCGTCCGAAAGTTCGGACCGTGTGCTCGGACTGAGCACTCGTCGGAGGGAGCTCGCAAAGTCGGAGGCCAGATGGGGGGACTTCGAACGGGGAGAGGAGAAAGATGGTTGCGCGATGAGAGGACGCAACGCGCGGAGGGGGTAGCGAAGACGAGCATGTGAGAGAAAGCAGGAGAGCGAGGGCGATC